GAATGTGAATACGAATACGAATTTCTTGTTGCCGATTTCGATGTCGTTCAATGAATGAAAATTGTCTAAAAATAAAAATAAATATACGATAAACAATGTCTGGAGTGACAGATGCGGGCGGGCCTGGTTATAGAGGAGGCTTTCGGAGGGTTAGATCCGAGGGCCAGGGCGATTAGAACAATTCACAGAGAGTGGGAGAGGTGTTGAGAGAGAGCGAGAGAGGGAGCTCGATGTATGCCAATTAGTGAGAACAGATCCAGCTGAGCGAGCAATAGCTCTGCCACTGCCATTCTCACAGCCAGAAACAAAAAAACAAACGGAAAAACAATAAATGATGACTTACATAACCCTGTGGAATACTCCCGTAGGCGCCGTCGTCTCACTATTTGAGGTGCAAATAAAAATCCCATGTACCCCGTTTTCTGTGCTCCCTACACGAGCACACAATCGTTCCCCACCTTGTGCCCAGGGATGAGTCACATGAAAGCCATTTCATGAATGCAACTCCATTAAATGCCACCTGCCATACCATACAATATTTTAGTTATTATATATACAAATATTCATATGTGGCTTATACCACAGGAAATCTGTTTTGAAAATCGAATAACTGAATGCAAACAGTTTTATGAATATCTATCTCTATGTATCGAGCCTAAGTGAGAAATTATATTCGCAGAGCCAAAATATTAGATCACAGACTACAGGTGCTTCATTCATGCGGCCAGCATCAGGCCAGCGCCTTGAAACTTATTGGAATTCCCCAAAAGCCAGCAGATGCAAAGATACAATATTCAATTTGCCTTGGCAATTGAATGGAATCTTAAAAGGTGGCAGCTGAGAGGCGATTACGTTGGCTGCTTGCCCTGGGAGCTCTTGTGTTGTGTCATTGGCATGCGAAATGGGAAAACGACGACTGCGACAAACTACTAGCTGGCTGCTGGCTGGCTAAAAAATGTATCTATTAGGAGGCATAAAAGTGAAATTCACGTACTCGCGCTGCTGTGGCACACTTGGTGCGTTTCACTTAACATTCTTATCACATGTCAACCATTTTGTGCGCTTATTTTTAGAGCCCGAAGCGACGAGATATGAGAATAACAGATAATACAAATGTATCTCTGGTCTCTGGTCAATAAGTCCCATCTTCAATGACTGCCGTGCTGCTGCTGCTGTTGTTGTTGCCTGATTACACAGTGACACAGTTTTTGCGGCTTAATGAACGAACAATTGAAAATTATTTATCGAAAAACAACCTCTAGATCCCTCGGGTATTGGGAACAGTCTCCAATCTCTCGCAATTCATAGGAATTTTACAATTGGTTTCCATTCTTTTGATGTTAAAGAAGGGCATCAATCTGGTAGTTAACATTTAGGGTGTTGGTTGGGGTTGGTTTTCATCGCACTTTAACTATCTTCTTATCTGCATCTGGTTATTCTGTAGATATTAAACATGGAAGACGATTCAAATTGGTATCGTGCCGAATTGGATGGAAAAGAAGGTCTCATACCAAGCAATTACATAGAAATGAAAAATCACGAGTAAGTATTGAAACCACAGCTCCCACTTCCCCCTTTTCCGTTCTTCAATCTGATTATGTATTATTTATCCAACAGTTGGTACTATGGACGCATCACACGTGCCGATGCCGAGAAGCTGCTATCGAATAAACATGAAGGTGCATTCTTGATACGCATCAGCGAATCCAGTCCCGGCGATTTCTCCCTATCAGTCAAGTGAGTTAATTGAGCGCCTGTGCTGGTGTTTGTGCTTATGATTGATTGTGGATTCCCCTTTTTAGATGCCCCGATGGTGTGCAACATTTTAAAGTTCTGCGCGATGCCCAAAGCAAGTTCTTCCTCTGGGTGGTGAAATTCAACTCCCTCAACGAACTGGTGGAATACCATCGGACGGCGAGCGTGTCACGATCACAAGATGTCAAATTGCGAGACATGATACCTGAAGAGGTAAGGAAGGCTGAATGGTGTTAGCCATTCCCCCATTCCGCATCGGAATCGTAATCGGACATGTGGCGTGCTGTTGGTGGGACAGGCAGACAGATTTGTTTTAAAAATAAAAATTACGCACAACACATTGAGGTCATGCTTTTGCCAGCCGCCCACTGACTACTGACTACTGGCCCCACTGTTGTACCCGTCCATAGAAAACTATAAACAAAATAATGATGCCAAGAAGAGAAACAAAAATTATAATATATATTTAATGTTGCAGATGCTCGTGCAGGCGCTGTACGACTTTGTGCCACAGGAATCCGGGGAATTGGACTTCAGACGCGGCGATGTCATCACCGTGACAGACCGATCCGACGAGAACTGGTGGAACGGCGAGATTGGCAATAGGAAAGGAATCTTCCCAGCCACTTATGTGACGCCATATCATTCGTAATAAGATAAATATCTAAAGGACACACACAGCCACACACAACATACAAAAACCGCACCCTACTCCCCCCACACACACACAAACATAAACGAAGCAAAACAGGAGCAACAACAACAAATAACTAAACACAAATTTTTAAATATTTATGTACAAGAAATGAGATGAATGGAGCTCGTAGATCGCGTATACGACACTCTAAGCATACATTATATGTATAAGCCGAATGCATTTTTTACATTTTGACGTTTTTTGATACTACATAGAAGAAAATGAGAAAAGAAAATATTGTATGTATCCGATGCATCCACTTACTACACTTGTAACCAAATATATATGTTTATGTGTATATAGAGCTGCGGTCAAGATGAGAGCATAAGACAGACGTTAGTTTTACAGTCCTCAGACCTCAGACCTACAGACCAGACCAGACCCTAAACCCCTAATAATTAGAGAGTTTCCCCTGTTAAGCAGGGAGTGGAGTGGAGTGCCAACACTTGGACCGCAACGATATGCACATACGAATATATATTTGTAGAATAACAACACGGAACAGAATATGACGATGACGTTGGCACTATTATTATTGTAAACGAAACGATTTTTGATATAAATATACTATATACATAAAACTTAAGATCGATATAGAGGAATATTTGTGTCCTGTGCTTCGCAGCGAGTGTGTAGCTCCTTAGTTTATTCGATGCCCGAGGAAGAATGAGTAGTAGAAGGGAGAGCAAACACTTTAATTAATTATGATAACAAATTACCAACAACAAACCCAAACTATTGCTTAACAAATTTATAGAAAAAAAAACAAACAAATTCACTATGAAAACAAACAAACTTTTGCCTAAATGTCTCAACAAAACTGAAGACAATTAAAACAAAATTTATATTATATTATCATAAATGATTACCAAGTAAATTAAATTAATTTTTGCATCGCTGGTTACTATATATATATACATACATATATGTACGATACACATAAACACACACACACTTACGATCGTATATACATTCATAATGAAAATCGAACGATATTATAAGCCACACCACATGCACTTCTCGCGGCTTTATAACTCAAAATTGTGTCAAATTTTGTATCCCGTCCCCCACTCACTTCCAAATTGAAAATTGTCGATAATTTGTTTGCTTTTTGGTCGGCCGCTGACCAGACCACCAACTCGATTATATGTTTTAACAAATTATGAAAAATTGAAGCGAAAAACGTGTGACATGTGTATAAAGTTTGAAACTGCTTGCTATATTACATTGTGCTATAAATTATTACATAAAACTATTGTATTTATAAAATGGGTTGAGTCCTGTGTCATCATTTGCCTACGATACAGAATGTGGATACAGAATCGAAATAACTGCACAATTGAGCATTATTTGACTACATAACTATACACATATGCATAAACAAATGAATTGTAATGAGAGTTGCCAATATAAGTAATTTAAAACAAACAAAAACAAAACACTTTAAGCCTATTTTTTTACCTATACGCATTCAGATAGAGAGATACACTTATACATATTCCTAATATCCACAAATCTAATGCCTCACGGAAGAAATAACACATCAGCAATTGTTTTCGATGATGATAGGCCATAGTTTATATAAGCAGAACCACAATTTAATAAGCAGCTGGCAGGGAACTGTTTTGTACTTTTTGAGCATATTTGGCCGGCATTTTGCCAAAACATTTCTCGACCCAGAGAACCAGCATAAATTCGTATCGTAACAATAAAGCAGGCAAATAAAGAACAAAGTCTAGAAGAAATTAAAGAGCGAATACACAAAAAAAAAAATATTACAGACGGTACATATGTTAAGTTGAGGAATTAGTCTAAGCGGTAACTGATTTATATAATAAAAACTATAAATTTAAATGTAGTTTGTCATTCTTTTTCGCGCTCAATGGCAAGGCAACAGCATTGCCAGCACAAAATCTGGAGCTGTGTAGTGCTGTCGTTTGAAGCAAGCAAAAGACTCGGCAAAAAGAAAATTGATTCATTAATAGTTAAATTATAGTTTCAGGTCTGAAAGTCCTACATAGCTATTAATATTAAAAAGAATATCGAAATTGGGGAATATGATTCCAATTGTGGTCACGCTTCTGTATACCTCGGCATATTTTGGAAAGGATGTATATTTCAGTATATTTTTTGAGGGTCAGGAATTCCACCCCTTGCTTTAAATACCACCACAAACATACAATGAAATTAGGGTGCACAAATGCCCATACTATACTAAACGGTTGGACACCAAACAATTGTCCAATAACGTATCACTCCATTTTATGCTTTTTTTTGCTGACCTTTTTAGTTTAATCCTTATTTTCAATTCAATAAAAAGAAGCCATGAAAAGTAGCCAATCCTGTGGAAAATTGATTTATGAATTCAATAATATTATAGTTTTATAGAATTATAGAATCCTAACAGGCTAGTAATATTAAATAGAACATAAAAATCGGGGAAAATTATTTAAAATATTCAGTATATTTTTAACATGAGAAGGAACATTTTGGTATATTTTTCAGAGAAGTGATGTATATTTGATTTATAGTTCCTCGGTCACACTGGGGGCAGCGGTGGTTCGGAATTTTTGTTAAATTTTACTAAATTAAATGTGCGCACACATATATACATTGACGCAAAAGAACACGTATATCTACCACCCACAAAGCGCGTCTCGGTGCGTTCAAGGGCTACGTAGTTGCCTTTCCTAGTGTGACACACGGGAAAAAATAGGCGCTGAAAATAAAATCACTTGGCACACACATCGAAATTTCAAGTCACACCATCTACACGTATACAAATGCGCGAAAAGTGAAAAGCGCGTGCGGAAAGTTTCACGAAATCTCCTGAAGTGTTATTATCCCACCCTTACGCTCACCCCGCCGCACTCAATATAAAGTAAAAATGCCGCTACTTGCCTACAAGGAAAGTCACATTCTCAGCGCCCAGCAGCTGCGAAAGCTCAGCGAACACAAATACTCATGCTTCAGCGCCAGCTTATTGGATCCTTTGCTGCAGCCCTGGTGGAACTGGCTAGTGTCCCAAACGCCACTTTGGCTGGCGCCTAATCTGATTACGATTGTCGGTCTCATCCTAAACATTGTGACGACATTGATATTAATTTGGTAAGTCGTTAAGAGATTCAATCAGTTTTTGCCGGTGTACGTGCATGAAATGCATATATGTACATTCATATGTATGTAGAATGTGTTTTGAGTTGTTGGGGGGGCCTGAGTGCACGTTTTGCAACACTCACACACACGCACACACACTGTCGTGTTGACCCTCAAAAAATTGCAAGTTTTTCATGTTCATGTTCTTTTCTTGCATTTGCCTTGGATCTTGAATGTGGTTTTGTGAGTGTATGTGTGTGTTTGTTGCTGCCGACTTTTCATTTCAATTTCGTACAGAGACCAAATGATTTTTTCTTGGCAGACTTCTCAGTAATTTTCCATTGGTACCGCACTTTTGCAATTATTCTAATCCTTTTGGGCCTAGACTTGTTCACCAGCTGGTGCCATCCAACTTATTTGGTATCTTGACAGCACTGTCGTCCGTTTATTCTGATATGTTAACGGGATTTTTTAGTTTCAAGCTTAAGAAATCCAATTTCGATAAAATTATTAGTTATTGTACTACTGCATTCATACTACTTCATAGTAACACCCCTTATAATCATTATTTAGACATTGCTACAGTTGTTTTCTGCATTTCTCGTTTCATAATAACCCAAGCGATACCATATCATATCATGTCATAACTACAAGTACCGTAACCATTTAGTAGGCGAGCGAGAGAGCGGGAGTGGGAGAGCCGAAGCCCCCACACACGTACAAAAACTATGCCACAGATAAGATAGCAAAGGCGTCTCGCCATTTTGCCCCATTACACATATGTGAATGTACAAATTGCGCGAAATATATGTAGCAAAATATATAAGTAAAGTAATCTCGACAATAATTTCTCGACTTGTCGCCGCTCGGCGCATTTCTTGGGGGCTGAGACCGTTACGGAAAAAAGCGACATTAAACGATAAGCAAATAAACAAAGGCACACTAATCGCCGGATCACACAAGCGGCAGAGGAATCAAATGGAACGAAGGCACTGTAAGCACCTGAAGCATTGGCTAACGAGCAGAGGAATACGAAATAAATTGCCAGCGGGAACCAGGGGGAGACCAAAGTTCTTTTAAGTTAACCCCGGGGGCAGAGCATTTCCATTTTCCCAATTGTTTCCCATATTCAATTGGAATTCTTTTTGCGTCTCTGATTGAATTAGAATGAACATTTGCATTTTTAATTGATTTTTATAGGTGTGCTGGTAGTACTTATTGGCTAATATTGGCCACCACCGATGTCGGATGTGGGTACGATATGTAGACATTTTCTGGCTGAATTGTCGCTGCCAAAATATGAGCATTTTGTAATTAAAAGATCTATTTTTAGATCTATGTACTTTCACTATTGCCATGGGGAACAATTATATTTTCTTAGGAACTTGACCTCCAAGCTAATACTTTCTCTGTATCGTATCTCTCTCTTTATTTCTACACCTTGTTGGCTGTACAAAATAGCACTTGATTGCTAATTAAAGGAATAACAGATTAAGTGGCAAAAGTAAGTTCTAAGTGGGCTTCTTAGAGGACTTCAAGTGAACTGTAGGCCACTTTGACCATACTTAAATAGATAAGAGAATGTCCGTATACTAAATTATTCATTATAATTGTCTCCTGAAAAGGACACCTGTCCTGGGTCACTTTGTTGTTGGGGAAAAGTGTCAATCAAAGTGCCCACAATGTCCACCCACCCTTACCCAGCCCATAAATTACATATGAATCACTGTTTTGGCTGTGCCTCACGTGTTTGCCTGTCTGTTATTTTTAACCCGAAAATATACATACATACTTACATAGCATACATATGTATGTGTCTATGTATATGCGGGGGTTCATTCACAAAAGCTCTCGAATAGTCATTGAAAATATACCGGTTTTATTTGCACTTATATGTTATTATTCTAGTTTCGTTTGCACCATTTTTATTTGTTTGAATAAACCAAAAGCAAGCCATGATGATGCTTCGCAATAAGCTTGGGGGTCAGTGGGACTTTATGTCTATCATATAATTTCCCACCGTTGCGTGGCGGGTAGGGGCGGGTATGAGTAAGCTGAAATCGAGGGCTGTGCTGTGATTTTGTCTACCGAATATGTTGAGCCGGAACCACGAAATCAGCTGATTCGATGGACAATACGACTGCATGAGGAGCAGGGGAAGATTGCTTATCGTTCAGCAACAGCAGCAGAAAAGTGATTTTATTCCATTTTCAACGTTTAATTATAAAGTTTAGCTAGAGAACAGAACTTTGATCATCAGGCGACTTTATGCTGACTGACGTCAGTGTTTAAATTACCGATCAGGGGATAGTTCGGGTCGATCGGTTAGTCAGTAGCCCGAGTAATTGACTTGGAAACGCCTAAACAAATCTAATTGTTATTCCCATTACCACTGGCCCAGTAACGCCCAAAGCTAGGGATCATTCGGCCATAACTAATATTATATTTTCTCCTCTCCTGTTACAGCTACAGTCCAAATGGCGTTGAAGCCCCGCCTCGTTGGACCTGTGCGCTATGCGCCCTTGGACTGTTCGTCTACCAGAGCCTGGACTCGATTGATGGAAAACAGGCGCGTCGCACGAATACATCATCGCCGCTGGGGGAGCTGTTTGATCATGGCTGTGACTCCATATCGACTGTGTTCGTAGCCCTCTCGGCCTGCATCTCCTGCCAACTGGGGCACTATCCCAATTGGCTCTTCTTTCAGGTGAGTAGCTGCCAGATTCAGATCCAGACCAAGATAAATACCCAAAACATTATCTTTCAGTGCTTCTGTGCGATTGCATTGTTCTACTGCGCCCACTGGCAGACTTATGTGTCTGGAACGATGCGCTTCGGACGCATCGACGTGACGGAGGCACAGTTCTCGATTATAGGCATACATCTGGTGTCGGCGGTCCTGGGTCCTGAGTTTTGGCTCACCAAGGTAGGCGTGGGAACGCACAGGCACAATGGACAGGCCTAAAGCCCATATAATGATACTCGAATTTCGTTTCTAAGCATTCTCCATTCCGGAAGTTCTTTGCGTTTCTTTTTAGTTGTTTTTCCTTTTTTTATTTTAACTTTTTTTATGTAGATCGCTAAGAGTATGACTTAAGTATTCTTATGTTTAGCATAGCATTTAAAGTTCAAGTTCCAGTTGCTGTCGCTGCAGCTAGGAAACCGTTTGCTGCGCTCGGCTCAGCTGCCTTAAGTTCTGTTCTGGTCGAGTTTTGTACGCTATGGCTCCGATTTAGTGGGACCAGTTTTTGAGTTGTTTTTGCTAGAGCTTTGATTTGATTTAAGTTAAGCATCCATTAATTTATTACGTTTAATTTACCATATACCTGGCATGAAAATGCGACGTGCAGAATCAGGGGATTGAAGCCAGGACCAAACCCAACTAGGTCCACATCGATTTGATGCGTGTATCTCAATACTATTATTCGCCCAGTTAGTTAAGCAACCAAAAAATATTCAGTATTTGTAATCGTCTAACCACTTTTACTTCTATGTACATAATGCGTGTTCTCTCTAAACCCCAATCTGCCAACAAATCCACACACAAACACACACGTAAAACACATGTATAACACTAACTATACGTTCATACGTATATGCATATGCAGATCGGCATTGGCGACATTCAGCTTTGGTATGGTCCGGCCATAACGACCATTGTGTGCGGTCTGCTCTCCCTAACTTATGTATTTTCCGTGATTAAAGCCGGTGGTGTTGGCAAAAATGGCTCCACAGTTGCTGTAAGTCTTGATACACACACACACACACACACACACTACTACTACTACTACATGAACATATGTGCATACTAGTGTTGGGAACTGAATAGGTCCATATTGACCGTAAACATATATTATGTTACTACTCGTTTATTAGTTCACTTTTGCTCCTTTGTTCATACAAGTACAAATTCTAAAACATTTTCATATGAAGAAACATTGAATTTATGGGGAAAAAATTGAACTAATGACCTAAAACTTAGTCTAAAAGTATTACTTGAACGATGTTACCCAACACTAATTCACACACACACACACTTTTGTATACACGACAAAAACTATTTTGGCTTCTCTGAATTGATATGAATGTGAACACACCATTCTCGGGGGTTCTCCCCCTCTTTATATATGGTAATGCTGAGACAGGCCCAGTCCAGTCTGAAAGAAGGTGCGTGGCGTGAGGTCCTTTCTAAATCCCCCCCAACCAACCCCCGCTCTCTATTTCTCACAAATTTGCTTGCCTACTTAATTTTGTGCCGTTGTAATTTTCTTGTTCTTGTGTACTTTGGTTTTTCCGACGATGCAGCTGAAATTCCTGCCTTGCGCTTCAAGTGAATGATACCAAAATTTTAATATACTATATTCATATATGTATTCAAATATCTGTACTTGAGCATGCTTTGAATACGAAAAAAATCCACCCACTATAACTCTTGGAAGCTGCTAAATGCAATTTTTAAGTTAACTCTATCAGTGTTTCCTTTGTTTACTCAAAATTAATGTACATGTATTTGCCCTGTCCATTTGTCCAGTTCTCTGGTATAAATATTATTCTTTATAGTCCTCCTATACTATAATCGTACGTCTAAATTCTGTCTTGGTTTTGGATATTCTCCACTCCTACCATTAACACACAACAAGAGTCTAAATCTGCAAATCTTTACTATATTTTCTATATGTATGTATTCTCTCTAAGTGTAGTTTGTAAGCCAGGTGGAGCGTGTTCTCAGTGCAGTCCCAGTGCCAAACAACTCACTGGCTGGCGACTGTGAACACTCTGCGATTACGTTTTGTTTTGTTTTTGTTTTCTAACCATAACAAATGCAAATATATTCTTCCAAATTTATACTCACCCTATGAATGCAGTTGACGAATTCTCTAAATTTTATTGTTTTCTTGCAATCTTTCATCTTTACTAGATACCAATCGTGGGCGTTTCATGGAATTACACAATATTAGTATTTATCACATTCGGTTATACCTTGAATATAATCAATTTCTTAAAAATGTTTACTCAAGGCGGCAGTGGCAAAAACGGCTCCTCAGTTGCTGTAAGCATTGCACCCTATCCACCCTATGCCTCTTCATCATACGAGAGGCGAGCAATTAAACAATCCCATCAAAAGACTACTATATTAACAGCCATAACAAAGAAACAAAAAAGCATCTATCTAATTCTAATTCCTACGTTGATCTGTGTTTGGTTTAGCTGCTACTAACTATTCCATTCTGCATTTACCTTTGATTTGGGTTTGGATTGGCTTGTCGTTTAGGGGCCGGTCGGATCGGTGGGGGCTGGCACTCGACTTCCCCCATCAACAGTTAAATGGCTAACATTATTATTTTAATTACGTCATATCGATTAACATGTCATGGTTTTATCATTGGATGGAATTTCTAGCATGCTCCTGGCTTCGGTACAAATAGTTTTTTAAATGGATAATTTTAATTAATTTTTTTCATAAGATTATAATTATAGTTTGCAAAACCGCGCAGCGATAAAATGAAAATTTGAATAATTATTGTTAATTTTGCCGCAACGAACTTTGATGCTTAAGAGACACGCAAATTTAACAGCTTTCGAACTGTTATATTTTGTTTTATTTAAAACTTATTATTTGTGTAATTTCCCCTTTTTTATATTTAATTCGTATACCCAAAAGACTTCTGGAAAATGGTATTATTTGTTCGTAATCTGAAATCACAATCTAATGCGAACCCCTTTTCTCTTCCTCTCGCAATTAATCAAATGAATCAATCGCAAATCAAACAAAAATATATCCCATACGTTCTGAAATTGGCAGCTACCGAACTTTGACTGTGAAACGCGAATTATGCCATTGTATCTGGCCTGTGGGATAGATTTGATCTTGACCCTGCGCTACGCAAAATGCATTTTGACCCAGGGCTGTGGCAAGAATGGATCGACGGTTGCTGTAAGAATTTTATGTTTATGCTTCTTATAGTAAAATGACACCGAGACACATAGCCCCATGCTTGTACAGTGCGTTCCACAACTATGAAAAAGGAATGATAGCTGAAGTTCTTGACTTGTAGTTATTGAACGCACTGCATGCAGGTCGGCATCCGTAGAACCACACTGGAGAAATCTGAGTATAATTAATTAGCCTAATTATCGGTCTTGTTTTTTTGGCAACAATTTTGTACAATATGTGTATTGGCATATCTTATCTGAATACTGAATACTTGTTGCCAACTATTTAGACTATTGTTTTGTGTAGTTTTTAAGCCGCTTCCTGGTGTCCGTTTGGCCTGGCATGTAATGTTATTGTTTTTACTGTTTCCGTTTGGTATCAATTGGTTTCTACTATACTTACGCACGCTTTTGAAACACACCCACAATTCCCACCCACCCACCAACCCACACAACCGCCAACTAGCGCTAGACCATGTAAATAAAAACAAGTATTAAAGAACAAAAAACAATAAGAGTAATTTCCACTCCCCACAATCTGTTGTCTTATACTGTGGTGGGGAGGGGAAAATGCTAAACTCCAAATAAGCCAAAAGAATTTTTGTTCTCTTTCCTTCCCTGCACTGAAAATTGTTGTGATCTTTGCAAAATGTGCCGTTTTACACACACACACAGACGCAAAAAAAACCAACTATGTATCGACTTGTAATAGGTGTGAGCACAACTGTACTCCCGTGATCAAGAAACTCGTGTGTGGCAAACGCCGCAACTTGCAAGTTTGCAACAAATCGATGAAACATCTAAAAATAATTGAATTCAATTTTTACCGCGCTTTAGGGCACCAGTGTGCTTTCCCCCAGCATACCCCTTACGCTGGTGGTGCTGCCAGCTCTGATTATTGCCCAGAAGTCGCCGGAGAACTTATTCACCGAGCACGCATCGGTGTACATAATGGCCTTTGGAATGGTGGCTGCTAAAATAACCAACAAACTGGTGGTAAGTACACAGCTAGACACTTGATGCGAATTCACTTAATTTGATGAATGGATTTATTCTCCAACAGATCGCACACATGACCAAGGCGGAGATGGAGTATCTGGACTGGTCGTTGCTCGGTCCGGCGCTGCTGTTCCTCAATCAATACTTCAACTGCATTGTGCCGGAGATCTGGCTGCTCTGGTTCACGCTCATCTGGGGAACACAGGATCTGCTGCGCTACTGTTCGCAGGTGTGCCTGGAGATCTGCCAGCATCTGCGGATTAATCTCTTCAGGATACCCTATAACCCTAAGGGAGGGGCACCGCATCCTGCCACCGCTTCGGTCAGCAGTCAAAGCAACATTGGCAGCAGCGTCGACAAAAATGGCGGCACTTCGCATCGAAAGTCCAAAAGCAAACCTCATTAATCGCCCCAAATACTGGTCGAAGAATGGCTAGCAACCGAACCCGAAGCCGAACCCGAAACGGACAAGGTTTCCTATTAAATTAATTAGTTTCCTTTTATAACTTAACGTCGTTAGAGTTGGCTGATAGCGGATCGGAAAGAAAGGAAGAGGCAAGGAGAGAGAGAGTAATACAAACCGTTAACGCAACCCAACAAAATTTACCGTCAGTGTTTAAAGAGAAAGAAACCAAACAGTAAGGAACGATGTAGCAAAAAGGCAAAGCAAAATATTTCTCTTAAGTTTTAAGAAATCGTTTACAACCCATTGTTGTAGCAAATGAGAGTAGAAGGAGGATATCAATTATATATGGCTATGGCTAAATACATATATATTTTGTATAATTGTGTAAGTTGTAATACATCTATATACATAGATTCTTGATGGCAGTATTTTTACTGTTGTGCAAAAGACGAATGCCAAAAAGAAAAGTAGTAAGAACAAAGTAGGAGATCTAGAACCAACCTAAAACCCAATCCAACACACATATTTGGCAAGGCAAAAGCTCAATTTACGTTTAAGTTCCCAATAAATTGATTGGCAAAGGCAGAGAGTGAGAGACAGGGGTATTGGGGTAGGGGTTACTTTCAGCCTGAAACAGTTCCGATTTGAGCGGCTGAGGCTGCCACTCCCAATTAGTTTATCTAATGTGCCGCAACATTCTAAATGGTGACTCATTTCAAAAAGCGCATTTTTTGTTTTTTTTTTGAGGTTACAATACTTACCTGGCGTAGAGGTTATGTTCCCCACGTGCTTGCAGTGTAAAAAAAAAGCGCATTAATTATCCTGGTTTGTAAGCCGTATTCTTAGATCGAACAACTAAGCATGATCAACTTTAAATGCATCCTAGCTAAAACTTATTGTATCTTTGCGTGGCGTTGGAGTGGGCGCCACGTGCCGCCAGATGGCCACATCTTTATAGTGAAACTAAAATGGATTATGTTGAATGTTGTACAACAAGACGCAATGCAAACAAAACCCACAAATAAAACGAACTGCAGAATACAAATTAGAACTCAAACAAAAAACTTTCATTTATTTAACAGAAACCTAATAAAAAATCATTCATTATTCACTTCTTATATATATAAACGACTTAAACTATCCTTAAACAACAACATAAGTTTAGCAAATGAATAGATTTAGCGGGAGGGATTGCAGAGCCAGGCCATAAGCGCCATATCGCGGACCTCCAGTGTCACTCGTTGGCGATGCAGCGTGAGCAGATAGGCGTCTTGTAAGCGTTGGGTTATATACATTTCCGACGACGTTTGCAATGCCTCCAAGGCGCCGCTGGTTATCCTAAACGAACATGGGCCAGTGAACTGGGACATCAATTCACGAACTAAGCGAGAAAACGGCAGGCGGGGCAACAGCAATGTGGGCTGCGCCTGCAGAATTCGCACTTCTTGATTCATTTTGGCGGCACGCACCACGGCGTTCGTAATTATTCGACGCGGCGGTCCAGTGGCTCCAGCCTGCTGTGGCTGTGGTTTTGCCAAGCGGAGATTGCGATTTGAAGTGTTGTGTGTCGGCCGTACTGGTCCTTGTCCTTTTCCTGGTGTGCGACGGTTTGCTGGCTCTGGGTCGCGATTCTCCTCCTCAGAAGAATCTGATTCCTGATTCTGTCGAGTCCGACGAGCAGATGTGTTTTTGCGCTGCGTCGAGGTGCGCCGATTGCTCTCATCTTGCAAATTTAGACGACTCGTGGTAAACTCCAAGCCGTAGTCGGTGCCATCTTCCTCGACTGGCGATTCAAATGTGGAGCTGTCATCATCCGTGTCCAAGTCCACCAATGTTGCCTTTGAACTTTGGCCGGCACGCCGAGCGCCCCTTTTTTTTGCGGATCGTCGCATAGTTGAGTCAAAGTTAGACGGCACAAATTTATATATAAATGCTTTCTTTGTTTAATTTGCAGACGCTTCGCTTGGGTTGAAATGCTTCCCGCTTTTTTCTTTAAGTGTGGCCGTATTTGAGATGTGTTAGAATACATTGTTCCCCCGCATTTTCCAACACCAATCGATCAGCTGGTTTTCGCCAAGCGAGGCTACTTGTGAATTGTTTGTTTTGTTTATTTCAACATTTGTTACAATTTTTAGAATGTCGGAACATCAAGGCAGGGGCCAGGACTACAGCCTGGAGGGGGACTCCGAGCTGCGTTTCGAAATAGAGCAGAAAGATGCCAAAGTTGTGGTTACAGTAGGTAAGAGCAAGCAAAGCAAGGGCAAGGCGTTAACTTATCTTCCATTGTAGCTGGTAAATGGATTTGCGGAGCTCTTTGGCACCGAATTGGTGAAGAAAAAGAAATATGAGTTCGGGATGGGCGCCAAGGTGGCGATATTCACATACCAAGGGTGTGTTCTCCATGTCACTGGAAAAATGGACGTTTGCTATATTTCCAAGGAGACGCCGATGGTGCAGTATCTCAATTGTCATGCAGCATTGGAACAGTTTCGCATGGAGGCTGAAGAGAAGGATCGTCGTGGTCCGGTGGCCATGGTTGTGGGCCCCACGGATGTCGGCAAGAGCACGCTCTGCCGGATTCTCCTAAACTATGCAGTCAGAGTCGGACGTCGTCCCCTCTACGCGGACCTCGATGTAGGCCAAGGCGCAATAGCCATATCCGGCAACGTGGCCACCATACTAATCGAAAGGCCGGCCAGTGTCGAGGAAGGATTTCCTAAGACCGCCCCGCTGGTCTACCACTTCGGTCACAAGTCGCCCAGCGGCAACAGTGTCCTCTACAATGCCGTTGTCTCCAAGATGGCCGAAGTCACGCTGCAATCGCTCAACGGAAACAAGCGCAGTGAGTAGATGCAGTACGTGTAGATCTGCAAGCATTCATAAGCCACCTTTCAGCAAAGAGCTCCGGCATCATAGTCAACACCTGCGGCTGGGTCAAGGGCCATGGCTATGCACACTTGCTCCATGCGGCCAGGGCCTATGGGGCTTGCGCCATTTTCGTATTGGACCAGGAGCGGCTTTACAACGAACTGCTGCGGGATGTGCCCTCCAGCGTTCATGTGGTGCTCCTGCCGAAGAGCGGCGGCGTTGTGGAGCGCAGCAAGGAGTTGCGTCACGAGTGCCGGGATCAGCGCATCAAGGAATACTTCTATGGCAACGCACGAGCGCCCTTCTATCCGTTCTCCTTTGAGGTGAAATTCCAGGACCTGCGATTGTACAAGATAGGAGCTCCTCCGCTGCCAGACTCGTGCATGCCCATCGGCATGAAGGCCGAAGACAACAAGACAAAAGTGGTTGCTGTTACGCCCACCCCGGCATTGATCCATCACGTGTTGGCTTTGACTTTTGCAGAGTCCGTGGAAGACGATGTCATTGGCACTAACATTGCCGGTTTCTGTTGCGTGTAAGCCTTTAGGGGAAACCTCAAAAAGGAAATGTATAATAGAAAATCTTCCGTGTCTCATTTCCAGCACCGAAGTGGATATGGAAAGGCAAGCCGTGATGCTACTCTCGCCGCAGCCCCGACCACTGCCACCGAACGCTCTGCTGCTATGGTCAGAGCTGCAGTTCATGGACAACCATACCTAGCTTAATGTTATATAGATTCATTTAAGAGTATATTAAACAATAAATTAAAATAAGAATTGGTCGCCATTAGGCCTTCTCTCGATTTCTACATGCTCTTTTGCATGTACATACAACACCCTTTGAATGTAATTTAACAATGTCATGTTTAAATAACATTAACATAATATTAAATATTATAAATATTACTCTCGCTTGCTCATTCGTTTTGCAAGTTTTTTTGCCATAGAAAAATTCGTATAAAGGAATAAGATGGGTGGTTCATATAGAGACTCAAATTATTATTAAATTGATTTTGTAAGAAGTCTGGATGATTGTAGTCCGGATCATGGGATATCCGCGAGACAACGTTGGTGTTGATTGCACGATCGGAAATTCCAAATATATACTCAACAACGCTACTGAGCTGCTTTAATGTCATGAATTTTGCCCGCGGACCATTCGCCAGTGCAAACTTGTGATATATCATGACGACACACATCAGTTCGGTGTTTTTAAAGGCGGTTTCCTTTTCCAAGCGGGCTATATCGGGTGCTTATAAGTAATTAAAGCGTGAATTTTCCATATAGTTCCGTAGAGGTCCTTCATTGTGCCAAAAGTTTGTTATCAACTAAAGATGTATGATTCTAAGAACTAACTAAATAATAAACAACAATAAGAACTGACTACTGAAAGAAAGATTCGAAGTACACCTATAAACTGACATTGTAATTTAAAAAACCTTGAAAAATGTTCCATATTTTTAGTTTTACCCTAGAAACTGCCACAACATTTGAGTGCTGGGATAAAGCAAGGTTTCAAAGTTATTAAAAAACATTTGGGCAATTGATTACACACTATGTATTTGTATTTTCTTTAACTAGTTTAATTTTACTTCGCTCACGCCTTAATTATGCCTTTTTATTAAGCAGAAGCAAAGTGACAGGACATTACAGCGCTATACATAACGGATGTACAGTAACTTATGATTATAAGAATTATAAAAGATTCTCCTCGTTAATGTATGAACAGACATACTGGGATTTACAATTACGACACGTACCTACATATGTCTATGTAAAGATTTGTAAAAAAAAACTTACAAATCAAAAGAGTGTAAAAAGTAAAAATAATACAATGCAGTGGCAATAGAGAATACTGACTTTTGGGGGTCGATTGCGTTTTTGAGTTTTGCAAAAGGGAACTTATTCAGAGTGGGCTTGAGTATTTTTGTTTGTTTCGTACGACACAACCGCTTTTTAATTGTGATAATTAATTTTGTTTTTGTTGTCCGGGAGGCTTAAACGGTAGAAATATATGTATATGTATGTAATACTATATTGAAAATGCATTGTCTGTATGCTCGTATTGGTTTGTGGTGCCAAATGCACAAAAAAACAGTCCATTTTGTCGTGGCAGGCGGCGCCCGAGTGGCATCTTGAGTGTAGTTCTTTTTTTGTTTGAGTATTCGTATTCATTCGTCTTCGAAATCATTCATCTGACCCCGTAATTCGGTCGGCTACATTTCGCTAAACGTATTTCAAGCTAAATTTTAAAGTATTGGATGATGTTTTCCTCTAAATACACTTACAGGCTAACTTGCTGGCAATTCGTATTGCGAGAGTGTGTGTTGAGCCCCCGACCGCGCCCACTAATTGCAGGCTGCACTGAGAGCCTGCGTTCCCTCAGCACTGGTCGATGGCTTGACTGTCTCACCGTCCATGTGGACATTGTTGTAGTCCAATTTGGCGTTGCATTTCGCTGAGGGCAGGGGAATCTGTTCCTGTATGCTTCCGTTTAATCCGCTGCATTTGAGGCTGTAGATAGCAAGACGCGCCTCGTGCTCCCGCCGCTGCTGCCGTAGCCTTATATCGTGCTCTTCCCGCATGTGCCGAAGCTTCAAGTCCTGCTCTTGCCGGTAGTACGCCATTTTTATTTCCTGCTCCATTTGCTCGAGGCGCAGCTTCTGTTCGTGCTCGCGGCGTGCATAGTCTATCTCGGCCAGACGGGCCTGCTTCAGCAGCTTGAAGAGGTCATGCTTATACTTTTGCTCCATATCCGTGCTGCTGATGAGGTCATGCGGTGCGGCTGGCGGGCTGTTCGTTTCGGGAACCGTTGTTGCCGCCGACGAGAACTGCTGCGGCGTTGTGCTAGGAGCAACAGTGGTGGACGCTTCATTTTCATCGGATATCACCGACTGTGCCTGCGAGAGCTGTCCCGGGGAAGACGATTCGTTATTAGCATTGCTCGTGTTCATGGCAGCTTGGACAATCCTCCAACTTACATTGCGTTGTCGCCGCTTTCGCACTGGGGCTGCCTTTTCGTTTTCCTCTCCCATATCCCCGGAATCGTTTTTATTGACCGCCGACTTGGGTTTGGCACGCTTGCGACGTTGGGTGGGCGGCTGGGAAGGAGCGCTCTCATGCTGCGAGTCCCCATCCCCGCCAGCGGTGGATGGGGGTGGCGATGGTATGGCCATGGTGGATGTCTGCAACGTGTCCTCACTGGCGTTCGTTGAGTTGGGCAAGGCGGCCAGCGGCATATCTTCATCTTCGTCAATATCGAGCAGCTCCTTCTTGAGAGTGCTCACGGTGCCGCCATTGGTGTTGGCCCCGCGGGTTTGGCTCCGCGCTGTAACCGGATCCTTTTGCATCTCCTCCATGAACTCAATCATACGCATGCCCTCCAGGGGATCCGACTTTGGATGCTTTTGCTGATGCTCGCGCTTGGCCGAGTTCTTCATGCTGCGCCATTGCACCTGAATTTGTTCAAGCAGTCGATGCCGAAAGTTTAACGCATTAAATCTGTGAGTAAATGGGAGTAATGTCATATGTGCCTTAGTATGTGTAGAAATACACACATGTATGTTGCGCAATCTAGGTACACTTACTGTTTGGTGATCTGGGACCAGGCCAGACGCTTGGCTTTGATACTCTTCGCATCCACACTGCGGTTTTCAACGAACGCCACTTTTGATTTGATAACATCCAGCAGCAGTCCCCTCTCCGCCTCTTCCCAGTTGAGGGAGCGTTTTTTGCGCGTGCCTTTCTTCTTGCCACCCGCGCTTTCCTTTTCAACACACTCCTCCACAGCATCCTCAGCGTTCTCCACCCCCTCGTCAGAGGCGATTGCGACTTTTGCCTTCAGCTCCACCTTTTCATCTTCATCGTCTTCTTCCTGCGGCGACGACGAACCCTTCGTCAGCAGATCTTCCATTTTCATTGTATATTATTCCTTCTAATATTTATATTTACTTATTTCTGATTCGAATTTCAGGCTTGCAAAAAATCGTATTTGATTTCTGTATATACTGGAGTTGCGTGGTTCTTGCCCGAGCCAGTTCGATTAAGTGAATCAAATAGTGGTTCAATTGTCATCGATGCCGATTAAAATGTTGCTACAAATAATGTTGAATGTGCCAAATTGTAAATTGAAATAT